AAGTAACTCGTACGAGTTGCTTAAAGCATCCCTCCTAAGGAGAAACGTTCTCACGGATCGACAGCGTCTGGATGAATCATTTCGTGACATCGAGTTAGGGGATCAGTCAGTCGTGAGCATGCTGAAAAGAATGAGAGAGGTTATTGGCCAAAGTCAGTTCGATGAAGGACTGTTCAGAGAATTCGTCTTATCCAAACTGCCACAGTCAGTATAGACTGTGCTGGTGACACTTAAGGGTGTCATCATAGAGAACTTAGCTGTTTCTGCTGATAAAATTGTAGAAATAACTAAACGGTCAGTTCCTGAAATCTGCTCGGTGGCCAGACAGACTTCAAGTAGGGATACTGCGGTGATAGAGTTATGCAAATGCATCCAGCAGATGCTTAGGCCAAACGTGCCTAGTAATTCCTCCTATCGTCGTCCTAAATCCCTTTAACGTAAAAACGCACGTGGTCGATCTAAGTCCAAGTCACGTTCACTGAAAAACCCTGACTGGTGCTGATATCACAACACCTATGGCCAGGAAGCGAAATGGTGCCAAACTGAATCGCCCATCTAACGATCTCCCGTGCATAACAGCAATCTTATGCACCACATCATAACCTCAGGACAACCCGTGACATCTAAAGCGCGACGACTGGCCCCTGACAAACTGAGAATTCCTAGAAATGAATTCGATCATATGCTCACCCTTGGCATCATTCGGCCATCGAGTAGCCCATGAGCATCCCCACTGCATATGGTGCTGAAAAAAGATAGCGACGATTGGCGACCCACTGGTGATTACCGGTGAGTGAACACCAAAACAACCCCTAATTGCCATCCATTGCCTCACATACACGACTTGACGGCAACATTATCTGGTGCATCTTTATTCTCTAAAATCGACTTGGTTAAAGCGTATAACCATATCCCGATGGCAACAGAAGATACTCCGAAAACACCTATCATTACGCCTTTCGGAATTTCTACGTATGCCATTCGGCCTCCGGAATGCAGCAGAAACATTCCAACGCTTCATCGATGAATATACTTCCAATAATGTATTATTCATGATTGCATTTTATACCACTTTGCAGCTGTGCAGGATTTTCTCCTCTTCCTGAAATAGCGTTCAAGCACGTGGTTGTCTCTCAACTTCGATGGAAACCTTCGTGGAAGATTTACAAATTAGCAATTATAAGAATCTGTTCCGATTGCTTGTACTATATAATTCAACAATTTTAACTTTTAAAAAAAGTGATAATCTTACTACAACTACGGGTTGAAAACGAAACGAAGTCGATTTTCCTGCGGAACCTGGAGGACTACTGTTTAATTCAATAATGATACGACCTGGGTCAGACAATGAGTGTATTTATATATACATATCTGAAAATTTCAGTATCGCCTCAACCTTACTAGCCGGTGGGCAAATAGTCTTGCAGTTAATGGTGTGGCCCAGAAAGTCAAGTGAGTCAATGCCTATCTGACACTTTTGAATATTGATGGTAACACTGTGTAGGCGTAACCTTTCAAATGCCAAGTCCAAGTGTCTAAGGTGAGTTACCTTGTCTGGACTGGTAATGAGGCAGTCGTTTAAGTATGCATATACAAAGTCGAGACCGCAAGATACTTAATAATAATAATAATTTATTTTTTCATATAAACATAAATTTACATGAAAATGCATGCCATTTTACAGGCAAGATCAAGTATGATATAATGACAAGTAGTAGATTGTCTACAAGTTAATAATGTTTGAACAGCTAAATATTTGATATGTATATATAAATACACTCATTGTCTGACCCAGGTCGTATCATTATTGAATTAAACAGTAGTCCTCCAGGTTCCGCAGGAAAATCGACTTCGTTTCGTTTTCAACCCGTAGTTGTAGTAAGATTATCACTTTTTTAAAAGTTAAAATTGTTGAATTATATAGTACAAGCAATCGGAACAGATTCTTATAATTGCTAATTTGTAAATCTTCCACGAAGGTTTCCATCGAAGTTGAGAGACAACCACGTGCTTGAACGCTATTTCAGGAAGAGGAGAAAATCCTGCACAGCTGCAAAGTGGTATAAAATGCAATCATGAATAATACATTATTGGAAGTATATTCATCGATGAAGCGTTGGAATGTTTCTGCTGCATTCCGGAGGCCGAATGGCATACGTAGAAATTCCGAAAGGCGTAATGATAGGTGTTTTCGGAGTATCTTCTGTTGCCATCGGGATATGGTTATACGCTTTAACCAAGTCGATTTTAGAGAATAAAGATGCACCAGATAATGTTGCCGTCAAGTCGTGTATGTGAGGCAATGGATGGCAATTAGGGGTTGTTTTGGTGTTCACTCACCGGTAATCACCAGTGGGTCGCCAATCGTCGCTATCTTTTTTCAGCACC